CCCCGGCCCCGCCCCCGGCCCGAACTTGGACTCGGGGAGGCGTGGCGGGAGGCGCGGGCGCGGCGCGGTCCCCGGGGCTGGGCCCGGATGGTGTGGACCGTCCCGGTGCAGGCGAGTAGGGGCGCGGGGCCCCGACTCTGCCCGCGCTCCCCTCAGCGCTAGCGCCCACCCTCGGTGAATCGCTTTGCGCTGCGCCCTAGTCCCACCGACTCGTGCACGCGGTCTGTCGCTCCCACTTGGGGCTTTGACACTTGAGCGCTGTAGGGGCGGCCTGTGAAGCTGCTTTTGTTGGGAACACAGGCCCACATCTCTCCCCGAGACTGGAACGGGCTGGTTAAGTGTGGGAAGAACAGGGGACTAATTATCTTATCTTTCCTACAACTGGATTGGTAGGTGGAGAGAGAGAAAGAATCCTGCTGACGTTTCTCTCTAGTTATTGCTATTGAAAATGCCAGGCTGCTTCAAAGGATTAACCACAAGGAAGAGGAAAAACACCCTTGGAGAACAGTGGGGGAGCTGCTTCAAACACATGACAAGGCCTGTTTGAAAATGGCACAGAGACGTCACGCCAGACCTGAATGTTTTCGCAGGCTCACCTTGGATGTCTTCTCTGGGGGATTTCCAGAAAGGTGCGCCCGCCTGAAAGGCCTCCCCATCTGTTCCCGGATCTTGCCCAGCATTTGCAGTCCTGCCTCACCCTCTCCACGCTGGGAGGATGGGGCTGGCCCGGATCACTTGGGAGCATCTGGTGCCAGCGGGTTTGGTCACTCCAGGCCCCTGCACCTCCTCCAGGACCTGTCCTTCAGGTCACTCTCCTCCAACGCCCTGTGCCATTCATCTCAGCACGTGACCTCACCCACCAGGCCCCTGCCTAAAGGAGATGTAGCCCAGTCTTTGTGCTGCAGAGAGATGAGCCATCTCAGCACTCCTTAAGAGGTGGCCCCACTAAGCACGGACTGGAACGTATTAAAAGAAAACATTAGAGCCGTGGCCTAATTACATTCATTTACCCGCAAGCGGGCACAGTAATGCTCTCAAGGGAGAGCCTGCCACACCACCCCAAAATAGAATCACTGATACATGTTCTGCCTTGAGTGACACTAAGTAAGGATCTTTGTAGAACAGAGCTTTTCTTCTCCAAAAGAAGAACATTTCCTTTTTATTTTGCACTGCCAGTTTCATGTCGAAACCGAGTTCTTGTAACTTCCCTAATGAAATGCCTGCTGGAAAATGGAAGGGCTATTTTAGTTCCGGGCTCGCCTGCCAAAAGGATCCAGGATCCAGGGGGTTAAGGCTGGCCCTGGACGCAGGGAAGCCATTCCTTATATTGTATCCAAAGTCGTTTGTGCTGCCTGGCCTTTCATGTACCTCTGGAGCAGCTTTATCGATGTACGCTAAGTAAACACAGCATTGCTTTTGTCTTCCACTCCCTGCGCAGACCGGAGCTGGATCCCTTCCAGAGCGGCTGCTGCAGTAGTTGGAGCCTCCTCCTCCCCACGCAGGAGCAGGGTTTCTAGGGTGAGGCAATGCGTCTGCAATTCGCAGAGACAAGGCAGGAATTGTAATTGTAGTTCATCATGTGATGACTTATGAAAGAGGAAGTTGGTATGTTTTAGTCACGTAGACTCTGCCCTCTTGCTTAAGCCTCCAGCTCCTCTGAGAAGAAAATTAGGGTCACCTTTGCCACTCAGAGTCAAGGTTACGGGGTTGGCTGCAGAGTGCCCCTACACATGCATATGTGGACAGGCAGGCAGATGCCCAAGTGTTGGTGAAGTGGTGAGTTGAGGCTGGCTTTTAACCAGAACACTGAAATGTTGCAATGTGTCTTGAGAACTAAAGGAAATATTCTGTGGGGAACACTCCTGCTGAGACTAGACACAGCAACAGTCCTTTCCAGCTGTAATTTCTTAAGATTTTTTAAAAAACAAACAAAATAAAAATCAGTTTAAGAGTAAAAAGAAAGCCATTCTATGTGACACTAGCAAAAAGCAGGAGTGTGGGTAGTGGCTTGGAAGGCAAACCGAGGGGAGCAGGTCTGAGCACTAGCTCAGTGGATAGAACAAACTTGACCTCCCCACACCAAGATTTTCATGGGCTTCCACTGCATGAGCATTAGACGTCTAAAATGTGAATCTGATCCCCAGGGCTTACTCCAGTCAAGCTGCGCTTGTTAACACACTGAAGCCCTGCACTGACAGCCTAAAGGGGAGTGTAAAGAATCGGCCCCCTCCAGAGGCCCCTAAGGGGACTGTGCCCTTAGGACACACAGCCACAGGAAGGTTGCAGCCCCGTGTCCCCAGCAGCCTGTGGGTGCTGACTTGGAGACGGTGTTCTTAGGGACTGCTGAGTTCATGGGTTTCATCCTATATCCAGATGTGAAGTCACAGCCTGCATTCCTTAGAGTGCAGCTTCTTTAAATAACATGATGTCGCAACCATACTAAAGCTTCTTGAACTCTGACCCTGGCATATTTGAAAGACAAAAAAAAAAAAAATGCAGCCATGTGTCATTTGGATTTCTGTGGACATCATCACAGGCTTCTTGTACTTGGCCAAAAGTGCCTAAGACTAGAAGAGCACATGTGATATTCAGGACTTTTCTACTTTAAAAAGAATATATATTTGAACACGTTTGTTTATATGAATACATCTACTCATATGACGGAGCATCATGACATAAATGAACCTTCTGTAATTGATGGGAGAGTCTTTCTTCCAAGTGATGGTATTTTATATGGAAATTCTACTGTTTTGCAAGTTGCATATATTCTTTTTTAGAAATACTTTCCCTCTGTTTGACCTCTCTCTGTAGCCTGCCTCCCCTGTGCACAGAGAGCATTCAGGTATTAAAGAGATTTTTGCATGTGGTGGAGATAAATTCTCTGTGGAGGGTCTAAGAATCAGGTCAAATGAAATTGAAGGAGCTGTTTGTCATCCACATATCACACACAGAAGCTGTCGGTCACCTGCCTGTGTGTCAACATATGTACAGGTCCCCATTTAAAAGAGCAACATTTGGGGCCTTGATGTAGGTTAACTATTTACTGTGTCAGAATTTAAAGAGCTAAGTGAAAAACAGACAAAGGAGAGATTGAGGTCACATACTCGCTCAGTCTGCAAGGAAATTTGTAGGGTAACTGGAAGGGATTCAACAGCCATTTGATGCCAGAACTCTCTTATTGACTTTTTGGAAAGAACAGGATGAGATGTAGGTTTCTGGGATAATATCTGGATGTGGGTTTAACCTATATTTAAGACACTCACTAAAATCCTTTCAAAGATATCAGTGGGAAGATGCTGATAAAGTAGTGCATTAACTTCACGGACAATGTTTGAAAATACTAAACTGTTAAATTTCCTCTTATCAGCTTTCCTACTTAAAAATGTTCATTTCCTACGTATATGTGCAGTAGTAAGGGAACTGAAAATTAAATGATGTAACAATTCTAAAAGGTTAAAGAATAATATGATAGCATGGTATTTATTATATCTTTCACATGGACATTTTAAAAAATGTATTTCAAACATAAATTCTATCATCTTATCATCCTTTTCAAAAACTGAGGTATGAAAAGATTAAATGATTTGCCTAAAGTAACATGAAAGGTGAGTTTCAGAACTGATACCCAGGTGTGACTACTGTTGTCTAATTATATAGTCTAGAACTTTCTATGTGCATTTTTCATTTTTAAAAATCCTGTAAGCACCATTTAGAGGCCCAGGAAAAGTGTTATTTGAAAAGTGTTAACAAAACGAATGTTAAGATTTGCTTATCTATACCTATATTGATAGGAAAAAGGAAAATTCTAGTATAATTCATAGCACACCCAATCCAAAGAAAAGTGAACATTCACAACAGATAGAGGGAGATGACACAGGAAGAGGGACAGTTGCTACAAAGCCATGTCTAGTGTGAGACTCCTTAAATGGCAAAACATTGCACGCTTGTCTTTATGAA